AACAATATACTTATGTAAACACGCATATACACACACACACACACACACACACACACACGGGCATTGTGGAAGTTACAGGATAACTTTTTTTTTTGTTATTAGCATAATTTGGAAATTTATACTTAATTAAATTGGACACAATACTTTCAACAACATGCAGCCTTTCTTCTGTGTCTTTTAGCACCAAATCAAATCACTCCTCTTCCATTGTAATAAAATATTAGGACAATAATGCTTTGCTATGTGGTTATTGCTACTGCCATTTCATGAATACTAAGATGTGAATTAAACATAGAAGAGAAGTTGATTTGACTTTCTTGGTTGCTGTTGTTGTAGTAGTCATTGCTTTTTTGGTGGTCTTGATGTCAAATTGCTCCTGTTTCTTTTTTCAGCAAAAATGGCTAGACTGAAACAGGCCAAGGAAGAGGCAGAGAAAGAGATTGCTGAATATCGTGCTCAAGTGGAGTATGAGTTTCAGAAGAAGGTAGCAGAGGTATGAATTAGTAAATTTAAAAGAAAATTTGATTTTTATCTTTTTGAATGATAGCAATGTGCTGAAAATCTTAGTTATGAGCTTAGATATCTCACAGCTATTATTTAAAGACTGCATTAATTGTGATTTATGTAAGTCATCTGGAATTTATGCATTTTCATTCAAATTCCTATTCTTATCAGTCAAATGCCTTTTTTTTTTTTTTTGTGCTCGAGTATTATCACAGTTATTACTTTGCTCATTTGCATGTTCCTTGGTTTCTTTTGCCATTTCTGTGGTATCTGAAATCTTTTTTACAAGATTGAACTCTAGGTGATAGAATTACTTCGAGATTCAAATATCCTTGATTCAAATATGAACTAAAGCACGTTTGTGGATTATTATACAGAGTAGTGGAGACTCGGGGCTAATGTGAAGCGACTTGAGCAAGAAAACAGATGCAAAGATCAATCACTTGAAGAATGAAGCTGCCAGGATATCGCACGATGTTGTACAGATGCTTTTGAAGCATGTGACAACCGTGAGGAACTAGGATCATCTCTAGGGCTGATGGTAAATTGTCCACAACCATCAATGAGGGTTCTTTTTTTTCATCTCAAAACTTAGAGCTCATGCTTGGAAACGATTTTATGTTATTATATCATTTGTCGTTATTTTATTTGTGCCATGCATTTGTTGATCATGTTCCTGTTCTGAAATAAAGTTCAATGTGTGCAGTTTGCCCCAAGAAATCGTTTCTCGTAATATTTATGAATGCAAAACAATAAATTACAAAGGGTTTCCAAATCATTCCCTGGCATTTGTTAAACCATATTTCTTCCACTTTTTTCTAATAGATAAAACGGGGAATGAGTTTATGAATGGAAAGGATGCAACCAAACTTTTTTTCTCAACTTCTGCTTTTATATTTTCTGGAAACAGGAGGAAGTTATGGAGCCACCTTTAACATAAATGCCTACATGGACTATTAAATCAATTGCAACTAGAAAACCCTACCAGTTTAATACCACTCCAACTCTTCATGAACAAGAAATTCATTCCTAAAAAAAAGAAAAAAACCAAGTGCGTTGACAGTGTAGTTGAATGGGTGAGATTCAAGTACTAATAAGAATGTGAATATGAAGTTCAAATAGATACTAGGAATAAATTCATACGTGTCATAAGAAGAAGCATAAAGTTTTAAAGTGGAGCCTAGTTGGTGTGAACTATAATATTCCAACACAAGGTTTATTGGAACTTTATTTTGATTTTTCTTCAAAACAACTTTTAGTCACTAGTGATTTTTGATAAATCCCACTTATATTCTAATCATGCTTTGATAGACCTCCTGCCTTGATTGGTGGACTAACTGCCTTTTTGTCTAACAAGTTATTGACCATCAAATAAGAAATCTGTACGTATGCACCAATGAAATACCTAAAAGATGAATGAGTTTCAGCCTGATATAGCTAATGCCAATGGAAAATAACAAGTTAACACCTGCATATACATATATATATATATATATATATATATATATATGAGATCATAAAACTCCATTACATGCATTAACAATTAAGTTTTTAAAATATAAAAAAATATATTTGCGAATTTGTCATAAATAATTAAGAAATTAAATAAATAAACATGGATCGATTTGTGAAGTTTAAAAACTGTGCATAGGATAACAATTATTCAGACTTTGGAAACAAAAGTCCTATTAATCTTTCAAATGTTGTTGGAAAGATGTCCTGAAGGAAAACAAAGGAAATGTTGTTAAATTTAGAAGTCAAGATTATTGACTGCCATTCTCAGTAAATGTCGTCATCAACTAGTTGGTGCTAAGCTTAGGAACCAGTAAGCTAGGGCCACACAACATTTTAGCATGAAAATGGCATCTCATTGATTAATGATAAGGATAACAGCACTTTGAAAAAATGTGGAACTTGGCTTTATTTCTCCACTTGGACTACTGAATTCTTTCATAATTTCCACTTTTTAAATGATGACATAGTAAACTTGCTGATCATGAGATGTTTTATTATTTAAAATAATTTTTTTATTTTTGTTTCCAGAGAGGATAAAATCCTATTATAAGGGAGAGGTTTGGTTTCAAACCAAACTTTTATGCCTTTCTAAAGATTTCTGCGGCCATTAAACCAAGAAGCAAAAAATCTTATTTAAAATAGGTGAAGTATAAATATAAGTGTTCGTTAAGCTTAGGCTCAGTCTAAATATCTGTCCACCCATTTATGTTTTATATTATTATATTTATCATTAAAATATTAAAAAATTTATATTAATATTGTAAATATATTTTATAATTAAAATTAAATAAAAATAAATTGTTTAGTAACTATAATAATATTTTTACTTGGACTTGGCTGGGCTCAAGCCTAAAATTAATGTGCAAAATCGACCCACCCGGTTGTACACATCTCTAATCATAAACCATTTAATTATAAGTTAAATACAAATTAAACATTCATTTTTAAAGGTAGTTGAATGATTTCCTGAAGTTTGAAACAATAACAAAATGGATCTTCTTGTCCTTTCAAAACTAAGCTTTAGAGGCTTGCCAACTTCTTCAATTAATTAGGTTAAATTATAAATAAAACATCTATCCATCCTCGGAATTAACACAAATAATTTTTTTTTTTAATTGTAAGGGATAAGAGGTTCAAAAATTAAATTAGAGAAATGGTAAAAATTACAAAACGAAAGAAAAGTACACAAATTTAATTATTTTTAGAGTGATTTTAAAAATAAAAAGAAGAGAATTCAAACAATGCACTATACTACAAAAGTCAATTTATTTTAAACCTAAGTTAGAGCTTAAATTGGCAGCCAAACTATGAACCATAAAGGTCCTTTCACTTATTCTAGATTAAACCCATTCTACATTTGGTGCTATAGATTTGTTCAAGATTTGTTTTCATAGCTTTGAAAGAATTGCGATTGAAAGAACAATCTAGGCATGAAATATACAGGTGGCAAAATGCGTTTCAAGGATAACAAATTTTGATAAAAAGAAAATAAAATATATATTTTTTGAAAGGGAAATAAAACAACATATATTGAATAAATACTACTAGGAAATATTTCCTATATATATATATAGTAATTCAAAGGTATTGAGAAAATATGGATTGGACTTTATTAAAGGAAAGGATTATTTGAATATGTCAAATGTTTTTTTTTTTTTTAAATAAAATTAGAGCATCGAAGAGTAGTTCACGTCACGAATACTTCATCTCGTACCGAAGAACCCAAAAGTTCTACACTGTTCCACGGACTAAATTTTGTTATGGCTTTCACCTTAAATTACTTCGTATACCCAATTAGCCTTCTGTAAGTTATATTAAATTACTAATTCAATAGAAAAACAAACCCTATATGTTTTTTTTTTATTTTTTAAATATACCCGTGAAAAATAATCTAAAATAAAATATATAATCAATAATTATGTAATTAATTAATAAATTATTAACTTTTTAATTTTAATGACCAAAATTTAATTTCTAACATTACCAAACACCAAAAACAAATAAAAAACATAAAAAATCTTGCTTATTAAAAGTGTAAAATGGAAGAACTACTTCTTTCTAATCTAAATTTTCAACTAAAAAAAAGGTGAATTGAGCTTAACTCAAGTAATAAAATGAGATGCCATATATTGGCTAAAATTTTTATAATATTCAAGTTTTGGGCCTTTTTTTTTTGTATAAAAACAAGTAAACAAATAAAATTTTGCATGAAATAATTTGAATAATTATTGAAATGATCCTAATTATCATTTTTTATTCATATAAACTACAACAAAGAGCTGATCTTTACCAATAAAACTATTATTTAACAATATAATTTTTTCACTAAAAATATATGTTTGTTTGTTAAGTACAGTTCAATAAAAATAAAAAGTAATAAATAAAACTGTATTTAACAAGATGTGAATCAATTACTACAATAAAACGGTCAAGTAAATAGTACAAAAATTTTTATGAACTTTGGTCAACAAAGTTGACCAAACTTGTCCCACTAAGTGGTAAGAATCCTATCCACTATTTTTCACGACATAGCAAAACAGTTAAAAACTAAAAACACTTTTTATTTTCCACCGTCACAGCCTTCAAAAATTGACCCACATTTTTTTTTAATCCAAAATGGAACCAACATTTTTACCCAAAGGGCAAATTTGTCCACGAGATATATATTTTTGCCCATAATTAGTGGTGCTCCGCCAATCTTTGGTCGACGGTGTGGCGCCTTGGCCCCACCTGGTTAACGACAAGCGCGGGAGATTAAAAATAAAATAGAAAACAAAAAAAAAAGAGATTATTCTTTTACTTATTTTGACCGTTGATCACGAACCAATGATAAGGAAACAATTTCCAACGTCCGATCAAACACCAACAAACAATTATAACCGTCGGTTACGCATTGGCGATTTTTAAAACGGTAAATGCGGTTTTATAAAAAAAGAATAAAATAAATAAAAAGGAAAATGGTTGTTTTTGGGTGAGTTTTATTAGAAAGGCTCAAATAAACAGGTATCCTCTGAAAGCAAACTGCTGCTGTTGTTCTTGCCTTTGCTGTCCTTTTCCCGTTTCTGGGTTCTTTTCTTTGTCTTCTTTTGGGGTTTTGGCCTTTTTTTTTTTTGGTTAAGGGTTTTTGGATTTCTCTGATGGTTAGTTAAGAAAACAAAAAACAAATTGATGGATAAATACAATTCGCAACTCGTAGGCAAAGGCGGCGTGAATTTGAAGAAGAATTTGGAGAGTTTTGCTTTTTTCTTTTTTTAATGATGATAATGATTGAGCAATGGGGAGTGATTTTCCATTTTAGAAGCTGATAAATGTTTGTTGAACATTCTTGTCAAATAAGGTGACGCTTTGAAAAATCTTCATCTATATTGTTACTATTATTTATTAGTATTATCGTTTGAAGCTAAACTCATCAAATTTCCATTTGGCAGAAAAATTTTCATGTGGGAGAGGGCGTGAATGGCAAGGTAGTAGAAAAAAACAATAACTGCTTTTAGTAAAAAGTAAACAAACGAAAAGGAAGGAATCCCAGTTTTGAGTATGCAAAGAATATCGAATTCCTAAAAAGAAGAGATATTCCTTTGTTTTTTTTAGGTTTTGGGTTATTGGTGTTTGATTAATTCGCCACAGCAAAAGTTAATAATGTCGTCGAATACTTCATCAGAGACGCAAGAACCGAGCATCGACACTGATAAGTTGAGTTACGAAATCTTTTCCATTCTGGAAAGTAAATTTCTGTTTGGGTATGATGATCATCAGAAGCTATGGATTCCGAAACCGATCTCTCCGCCTTCTGAACCGAAGGTTGAGCCATTGATTCAACCGGGTGATGAGAATTCCCCGTCAGCTATCAAGAACCAGAGGGGTAAAATCTGTATTTTGAGTATCGATAGCGGTGGCATGAGAGGGATTCTTTGTGGGAAAGCTTTGGCTTATCTTGAACAGGCCTTGAAATCCAAGTCAGGTAATCCGAATGCTCGAATCGCCGATTTTCTTGACGTCGCCACCGGTTCTGGTGTTGGTGGTATCTTCACGGCCATGCTTTTCGCCACCAAAGATGATAACCGCCCGATTTTTACCGCTGAGGAGACGTGGCGGTTCCTTGCAGATAATGGGAAGCGGATATACCGGTCCAGCCGGGGTAAAAACGGCGGTATTTTGAAAAAGATTATGAAAAACGGTTCGACCGGATCCAGATCAACCGGTTTAGAGAAGGCGATGAAGGAGGCGTTCGCGGCGGATGGAAGGAGTTTGACGTTGAAAGATACGCTAAAACCCGTTTTGATTCCTTGTTATGATCTTTCTAGCACAGCACCGTTTTTGTTTTCCAGGGCGGATGCTTTGGAGACGGATAGTTTTGATTTTCCATTATGGGAAGTTTGTCGGGCCACGTCGTCTGAACCCGGCTTATTCGAACCGGTTTTGATGCAGTCCGTCGATGGTCAAACCAGGTGTGTGGCAGTTGATGGTGGGTTGGCCATGAGCAATCCAACGGCTGCAGCAATTACGCACGTGTTGCATAATAAACAGGAGTTTCCTTTTGTTAGAGGAGTTGAGGATTTGTTGGTGCTGTCATTGGGGACGGGTCAGCTACTTGAAGTCAGCTATGAATATGAGCGAGTCAAGAATTGGAGGGTCAAGGATTGGGCTAAACCAATGGCTCGAATATCCAGTGACGGTTCGGCTGACACGGTGGACCAAGCTGTAGCCTCGGCATTTGGACAATGCAGAAACAGTAATTATGTAAGAGTTCAGGTATATTTCAAGGACAAAATTTTATTTTGTTACATGCATAACATTTGTTACGAGGTATAACATTTTTTTGATAGACTAGACAGTTGAAACATTTGTGAGCAAATTCTGTTTTTGTGATGATTTTGATGAGATTTTTGTCACTGCCAATGCTAAGGGACAATGGAAGCCAGGCTGGTTGGAGTTAAGGATCTTGGTTTTTGCACATTGGAATTCTTGAATAAGGGTTCAAATGTTGGTAAAGTTTGTTTTTGACCTCGGAAAATGGGGTCATTGAAGCTTGTGTTTTTTCCATACTTCTCTTTTTTACCGTTTTAGTAGTTTATGGTTGAGGTCATAATCACTAGCCTGGAATGCTTCAGGGCATAAAGCACTAGCTTTTCAACGTCAGCCTAATTTATAAGCCAGGTGATTTTGTGGTTTTGGGGCAGGTTTTCCTTAGGCAAACTCCTAAAACAAGGGGTTTTTGATTGGCTCAATCCAAGATCAATTGGTGGCCTGGTTGTTTTAGTTAAACTAAAGTCAAATTGCCAGCTGAAACTCTGTTTAAAGTTCTTTTTTTTTTTGTCAAAATTGTCAATTATTCTTTGAACTGAGGACCTAAACCTGTTGAATTGTCTAAGAAATTAAGCTTTCAAAATTTGCTTTACAAATAGAAATTCTCTTGGTCAAAGAGAATTCTTACAGTTTTCTTTTCTCTGTCACATAATTCAAATTCATGGAGAAATTTGTGTTTGGTTGGGTTTTGGTTCATTTCTCCAAGTTCTTGAATTATATGGGAATGTCTAATACTTTTGAAAAACTTTCATTTGATGCTGTGGGGGATATCTTGCCTTGTTTATTTAGAGCAAAGCTTTGGTTAAGAGTGTGGGACATCAATGAGAGAGCATAAATTGTCATTCATGATTCATGTCCCTGTAAACATGCCTTCTATTTAGCTTAGCTTTTATTATTAGGCTGATTATGGTAATACTTTCTGTACTGTTTAATACGCCAGGGCCAGCCTCTAATATTGCCATTCTTGAGCATCTACACTACAATCGAATTGAAAGAAAAAAAACAAAGTGGGGAGGAGGAAGGTTCTTCTAGTTTGAATTGGGGCCTGTCCTCTCAATTTGTCAAATGAACGTAGACATTTTCACCCAGTGGAGTAATAAGAAATTTTTTTGATTTTGGGAGAAAGGAAATTCAAATCCACTCTTTGAGCCTGAAATACATGCACCTATTATTGAATCTAAAAAATTTAGTGGTCAAAAATTTTTTGCGGTTTGCCTTGTATTCATTTACTCTAGCTTTATATGATAGTCCTCGGTTGGGTAATGAAAGTAGAATTCATAAAGTAAGGTCCCATTTTTATGAACCACTAAAAGGGGGTTTGGCCAAGTGACTAATGAAATGAAGGAAAAAATGGACTCCATAATAATTTGGTCCCTTGTTTTCCCTGTCCTTTTGGTCAGTTTCATTAACAGTTAATTGGAAACATGCTTTTGGTATTTTAATTTGTTTCAGTACAACCTTAATTGTATGTTTGAAAAGCTTAAAAAAAACACTACAGGACCATGATTTCTGGGAGCTATTGATTAATTTGCTAGGTTTGGTGGATGAACAGCTTCTGTTTTCTTTTGCCATCAGTCTTTTAAAATATTGAATCATGGAATCACCATTGTTGCCTTTTCTCTCTCTCTCTCTCTCTCTCTCTCTTTTCCAATCAATTTTGGTGGGACAGGCAAATGGATCCAGTTTAGGGCGGTGTGGCCCAAATGTAGACACAGACCCCAGCCCCAGTAATGTAAAGATGCTGATAGGAATAGCTGAGGAAATGCTGAAGCAGAAAAATGTTGAATCCATCCTGTTTGGAGGTAAAAGGATTGGAGACCAAAGCAATTCCGAGAAGTTAGATTGGTTTGCTGGAGAACTTGTTCTAGAACATCAGAGGAGGAGTTGTAGAATTGCTCCCACTGTTGCTTTCAAGCAAGCAAATCTAAAGACCCAACTAGCATACTCTCAACAAAATCTGCAGCTAACCTAATGGCAGAAACAAAAAAAAAAAAAAAGGGTAAAATTCCTTTCTATTCTACTATTTTTTTTCAATTTTCATTTATTTTTTTAATGTTTTGTTCAAAGAAAGCATCTTAGTGGACCTTGCGTTAATGGAAATGATTAAAAAGGGGACATCTAAATTATATTTTGTAAGGAAGATGCTGACTTTTTAATGTTATAAAGCTGTGAAAAGATTTATAGAGTTTTGATGATTTTGTCAAACATATATTTCTTCTCCTTCCTTTTTTCTTTCTTTTATAAATGTCACAACACAAACAAGAGTGACCATTTAACCCAGTAAACCAGATCCAAATTTACCTTTTCAACTCCTCGAAATGTAATTTTCAATTGAATGAAAACCCAAATTTCACACCTAACAGCAAATCAACACATTGAGGGTGCCTGCAACTTATAGCTACCTGCATCAGAGTTTTACTTGGTCCACTAACCCTAATTGATTTTTGATGAAAGAAAATCACCCTCAATTTCTTTTTTCTCTTTTTGTTTTTTTAATTTAGCAAATTAATTTACCTCTTTTTTTTTTTTGTTGACAAATAGTTGTTTCTAGCAAATTCATTCATACTTTTCCAAGTAACCCCAGGAAGGTAGTAGGTTTTTCAATTTTTATGTGATTCTAGGCATGAATTGTCATTTTCTTTATATGATTTAAAATCTCATACTTAACAACTGGTTGTTATTTGTTGCTATTGTTCTAACATGAAATTTGAGTGAAAAAATGTTAAAAAAAAAAAAAAGATAAAAAGGAGGGAGAGAACAAGAGGAAACAGTGATGTGGGGAAGACAGTCTCAATGTTGTCTGTCGACCGACACTCGTTCTCGAAAGAGCTAAAGGGTAATTTAGTCATTCAATATTAGAAATCAAAATCATAAAAAAGGGTCTGTCCGTAGTCCGGAAAAATGGTTGCTCTTTGTGATCATATTATGTTTTTGCCCTCTTCGGCTTTTCTTTTGGCCCACTAACACTTAACCAACCCACTTTTTCGTTTTTTAATCACAAAAATAAGTAATATTCAAACATTTAATTTAATAATTAATGCATAATTTTGACTTAAATAATAAAATTCAATTCTCTTTTTTTAAATTAAAAAACCAATGCATCAATCTTAAAAAAAACCATTTATGTAATTTTTGTTTCTTTTTAATTCTTCCATTGCTTTGTTGCCCATATTTGATTTCATGCACGTGGCTTCAACTTGCCCTTGCATTTTTTTTTTGGTTGTAATTTAGTGAAGCAATTGTTCTTGTTCTTGCTTAAGTTGAGGAATTTCCACTCCATTAAATGCCCTTAATTTTTGGATAGATAAGCAACAACTGATATTTATATCTTAAAGCTTATAAAAGATTATATATATATATATTAATTTCAGTGGTACTTTCATTCGTTTAAAAGATTGTAATAATATTTGACAATGATTATGGAATTTAATTAGACAACGTTGTAAACAAGTCTCTTTATTGTGTAACACTAGAGATGTTGGGGTTTAATATGCTACAGAAAACGGCAGGAAGTTAAACTGGTCAGAGCTCTCCACTAACTTAAATAATGACAGAAAATATAAAAATATTAACGGAGTTTTTAAATTTTATAATATTAAAATGTATTATTTTGTGAAAATTTTTTACTTTTTAATAAATTTTAAAAGGTATTGTGGCAAGCGATGTTTGAGATAATTTTCTAAAAGAACAAAGCTCGATAAACTTGTTCTTATTTGTTTTGTTGCCTAGTTCTTCTGAGTTTTGTGCTTGGTTTTAACGTACATTTTCTAACAGTAAATTTTGTTTTTTAAATGCAGGATAAAAAATGATATCCAAAAAAAAAAAGGAGAAGAAAATAACATAGCTGCATTGAAGATGAGCAAGGAAGTGAGAGTGCAGGGAATTGAGTGAAAAAAAAAGAAAAAAAAGACATTAACTACTACTGTAAAAAGGGTTGCAAGACGTTAATTAGTGGGGATACTTTGCGTACTAGAGGACAGGCATGATGTTGTCCACTCCACCTTTCTATTATGGCAAGGAACCAAAACAACAAACGCAACAACAGTTCTTATGCTTTTCAGAGGTCATAACAAGAATCAAGAGTGAACCTTTTTTTATTTTTCTTAAAAAAAAAAAGGAAAGTATAAGGTGGGAAAACTGTTTACACATTTCTTCCTATATTCCCTACATTTCCTTTCCTTTCTCACGTTTTCTTTTCCTCCCAAAAACCTAATTGTTTTTTTTTTCTTTTTTTTTCTACCTTTTTCTATCAATTCTGTCTCAAGAAACTTGATGACTCGGGTGGCGTACTGTCTTGTGTAGTCATGAAAAAAAAAACCCAGAAATATAAGCCAAAGTTCTTTACCCGGCCTTTATGTTTTTTTTTTTTCTTTTTTATTTCTACTGTTAATTTTGTTGCATAGAAATTGTTGTGGTGGAGAAGGGATTTTAGAGTATCTTCATCGAGATTATAGGATTTGGTGGATGGGCCACAAATTGAGGCTGGGGAATGAACCCTTTCTACATGTAGACAAATTCCATTCATGTACCTTGAAATTTGAAGCTTTGTTATTTGGTAAATTTTTGTTTTTACTAATTTTCATCGCTAAAGAGTGGTGGTGGGTAGTATTTGATGCTTTTGTTTCTTTTCGTAGATTTTCTTATACTTTAAAACATTATTAATTGAGTTTTTTTAAATATATTTAAAATTATCATTTTTTTATTAAAATTAAAATTTTAATATTTTATCAACAAATTAACTGATTATTAGCTTAAATGATTTATTTTTAATAATTTATCAATTGAATGGTTCCATAAAGTTTGCTCTGTTCAATCTCAACCTTTGAAAAATTGACCTTGAGCTTGATAGAATATTCCCAAAAATAAACTACTTTTATAAGAATGAAAGGGATATGGTAAATTTTCAAATTTTTTTAAGGTAAATGAATGGAGTTTATGGATTTCACATGCAACTTTATTTTGTTACATGTTCCTTAAAATAGAAAGGTTACTGATAATTTGAAGCCAATTCTTTGCACATTTGTTGCTTGATGAAAATGGTGTATAATCACACCTATCATTCAAACATAGACTACTAAAAAAAAAAAAACATGCAAAATATGAGAGGTTGTAAGAAAAGAAGATTTAATTAAGAAAATGAAAATGAAATAACTTCAATGACAACCAAATGTTTTTGAGTGATTATGCAATTATAGCCAAATCAAAACCCTATGTTATAACTAAGCAAAAACGCCCTTAATTAATCTTGTTTTTGTTCTACCTCTATTTATTGTTACGGTTTAAAATTCTTTCATGGATTGAGATTCCCTCGATTACCTTTTTTATCTATTATTTTTAAATACATTTGTTATCATTGTGTTTACATTTATAAAATTTAATTATTAATTATATCTTATGATAAATGTTATTGAAATGTAACTGATAAAAATAAAAATATCAACTCTATTTTTCATTATACAATGGCTTAAGATATACAGTAGTATAAAAAATTATACTCTTTACTCCAACAAAAATTTATAATTTTCACTTTTCATGGATTTGGACAATCAGTCAAGTTTATTAATTAAAAAAATATAGATTATTGTTAGATGATGAATGTATGAATTTAATACAAAAGCACACGTGGGTTGTGAGGGCAACGGGAGAAGCAAAATACGTAACTAATAATTAAAAAAATTAACTTTTTTATTAAAACGGTGAAAACTTTATTAGAATTTTTAAAATAGTATTAAAAGATATTTAAATTATTTGAAGTTTTATATATTTTATTTATGTAACTAAATCTTTTAATTTATTAGTTTATAGATTTAAATTTAAATTTATTATTTTAATAAAAAGCCTCTCAAAGTAGATTTAAAAAATTATCTAAATTTCGTCCTAAATATTAAAATAAAAATAATTTAAAATTTAATTTTTACTTTATTTAGATCGTGAAAAAGATAAAAAAAAAAATAAAAATAGGCATAAGTTTGCCAAAAGAGCAAGAGTTTCTTCGTACCACTTTTTTTTTTTTTTACTTTAATAACGAAAAAGAAGCACGCGTGCACAACCTTCAAAATTGACTTGTAACAACTTTTTAGAAAGGGTTTTAAAACGAGAGTAAAGGGAAAAAAGATGAAAATATTTAATTGCTGCCTATACCAAAGAGGAAAAAGCCACTTCTAATGGCTTTTTTTTTTCTTGAATGGTCAACATTGCATTTACTTGGTCGCCAAATAAGATCGCTTGGCCCTTTGCATCTTCAAAAAGCAACAAACTTTTTCTTTCTTTTTTCCTTAATTTCATTATTTTATTCACTCATTCTAACATCAATATTTAGGTCTTAAATTGAAAATCTTTTTAAAAACATGGTAGGACTAGAAGAAAAGGCACATGTTAAGAAGAAAGATAATCCACCTAGGTTAGTCTAATTGATTTAGAAAATATTTTTTTATCAATTAAAATTTGATTATCATGAAAAATATTTGAACAATAAAATTATGAATGTTTCGAGTTAATATAAAAAAGTGTTTTTTTTAAATCTTAAAGAAAATTAAGTCTAAACAAAAATTGAGAATATATTGATTTTATTATAAAAAATTAAAAAGAAAAAAATTCTTTAAATGTAACATTAGAATGGAGATTGAAAATTGATAAACCTAAGGGGACTGAATGTTGTTGGAAATAAAAGTTAAAAGTTTATGCCCTATTCGATGGTTCTAAAGAGGGGTGGTTGATGTCCTAACTGGCATGGCGTCAAAAATGGCATCATGGAGGCTTATACTCTACCTCTCTCTTTTATACAAACTAGAGGAAGATCCGCGCTCCAATAAAGGCATGATTGATCACTGCAAAGCAAGCGATATTTTTAATTTATAAAACTATTTCATTTTTTTAATAATCATCTTTAGTTAAAAGTTTATTAAAAATGAATCATTAAAACCAATACATAAAAAAGGTTTACTATTCATAATTTCATGAGACCATATCATTATAAAAAAAATCATTAAATACTTGTAAATACATATATATATATATTATAAGTTTGAGTAGCAAACATTGAATATAATAATGATACATGCCTGATTTAGTTGATTAGTCTCTAGAATGTTTAAATCAAGATAGATTTTTGTTGATGATGATGATGAGATAACATATAAAACACCTATAATATATTTTAAGTGAGTTTTGTAAGGTATGTTCAAAATCAATAGTAAAATATTAAATTTTATGTGTTAAGTAGTTAGAGAATAAAAATCATTTCCGCAAGACAATCAGAGAAAATGAAAATTGAAAAATTCAAGATATCTTAATTTATTCTACGTGCCAGGTTGCTATAAAGAATCGTTTTTAAAATATTAAGACTGATGATAAGCATACCATAACAAACTCAATCAATAAAAAATGTACATTATAGTTGATATGTCCGTAGATATATCCATTATTTTTCAAGTAATCATATTGTTTAAGTAATCGTATTTTAATTTGTTTAACTTTCCAACAATAAAAAAATAACCTCACATTTATTTAAAGAGTATTGTAAATAATAGTAATAACAATTAATCGAAGATAATTAATTTAATCTACTGATTTTGTTATTTACTTATATATTTTGGAAATATCTAGTTGTTATATATCTTAATATGCACTAATATTTATTTTTCAAAATATTTAGTTTTTGTAAATATTTTTGGAAAAGTAAATATGTAAATAATAGTAGATATATCTTAATATATACTAATATTAATATAATCATATATTTAATAATTATAAAAATGAAATATATTAAAACTATTATTCATAAAAATATATTATAAAACATGTTTGCAAGTAAAATAGATAATTAGATATACATTTAATTAATTTTTTAAATATTTATGTTTATTTCATAACTTAACATACATTGAATTAATTTTTATTATTCTCTAATTTAAAAAAAAATTATTTAATTTATAATTTAATTTTAAAATTTTTTATATTTATTTTTAAAACAATTCCATAATTTCAATTCGTGAAAAATAAACACTAAACAGACAAAATAAAAAAAAATAAAAATTGGTTAAGTTTCGTAATTACAATTGGGTTTAATACAATTTAATGAATGCGAGACAATTAAGTTGGGCCTGAATGCATTTGGATGGGCCTCTTTTTCTTTCTTTTATTTTTTCTGGTTTTTTTTTTTTAATTTAAGCTCTGTATGTTTTTTTAAAAAATAATTTTTGAAAAATATTTATATTTTTTGAATTGAAATAGATTTTTTGTTGTTTGGTTAATGTTTTTCGTTATTTGATTTTTTTTTGGAAAATATATATTTTTAAATAATATTAATATAATTATTAAAATATTAAAAATTATTTATTATTAAAATATATTGAAATATTTATTATTAAAATTATTAATATTAAAAATAATTATATTTTAATAATAATATTTATTATTAAAATATTATGTTAATATAAAAATACTTAAAATAAAACTATTTATTATTCTTTATATTATTTATTAATAATATTTATTAATATATTAGATTAATAGTATATTATTTATTAATATATTATAATATTATTTATTAATATATGATTTATTAACATAATATGATTTATTAATATTAATATATTATTCTAATATTTATTTATAATAATATTTATTAATATAATATTATTTATAAGTAAATTATGTTTAAAAGTATTGACAAATAATTCTACTTATAAATAATTTCTTTTCAAAAAATATTTGTTTTTTTTCAAATTTGTAAGATAATTTAAAATAAATAACTTCATTTTTCATTAACCAATAAATTATTTTTTGTTGATCAATAATTTTTTTATTAAATAAATATTTAAAAATATAAA